AAAAAAAAAAAAACTCAATCAAAGGCGTTTTTCATTGAAGTTGAAGAATTTTTAAAAAAAGTTTTCATACATATTCGAAGCTTTAAAACTAATAAAATATCGGCTAACTGTACTTTATCTTTGCTGACAAGAAAGCAAACCATCATTGGTAAGTAGCACATATGTACAGTATCGGTCATATCTATAGCACGCCATTTCAAAGTAATATTGTGTACCAATTATGCTTATTTATTTATTTTTAAGAATTTTCAATTAAAATACAGTTCTTTCTCTAACAAACTCCATATAAACCCAAGTTTAAAAATTTGTATGAAACTTAAAAAAATGGCAACAAATTTGCANCGTCGTTGATGTCATCAGCCAAACGGAAGTCGGAAACAAGATAAAGCGCAGAGGATGTAAAGCAAGAAATGAAATGAAAAATTTGTTAGAAATTTGATTTGGTTATTTTGAAATTTTGTATGTGTTTAAGTAGTTGTGTACATTTATTTATGTTAGTTTAAGGCGTTACAATTTGAGGTCTCAGCATTTGTTAATTTTAAAGTCATAAGGATAATTATTTCTACGCAAAAGACTCGCGGGTTATCTCATTTGCTGGCAGTAAGGTAAAAGAAAAATGGCCGACCAAAATGGTACAACCAGCAGGAATGAACAATTCCTCATCGTAGTACACACCTCTTACCTATCGGCCACGACAGACGACAATATTTTTTGGTCAAAAATTGGTTGAAAAATAAGTATGGGCACTGCAAGTCGAATTGCATCTAAATAGAAGAATAACCTTAACTTGTATTGAATAACAGGGTAATTCTGGCTAAGATAGTAAGATCTTTTGTACGACAACTAAAAGGAAGGCATAATAGTTTGAAAGAGAGAGATCCAAGGTTCGAATTCTCGGGCAGTGATTTTTTTTTTTCATTTAATATTTCTGCTTTTTTAACTTAATTTCCACATTCTATTGTTTTATTTTAATTTAAAAAAATTTGCTTTTATGTATTTATTTAATTTTTAAATTTAAATTTCTTCTTTTTTAATAAAGTATTTCAATTTTTTTTTTGTTTAAAAAAATTAAAAAAATTAATTGCTTCTAATTTTTAGTAACATATTTCATTTATTTTTATTTTTTTATTAAATTTTATTTTTTAATTTGATTTGCTTTTATTTTTAATTTAGTTTTTAGATTTTATTGTATTAAAAAGAAAAATATTCTTTTAATTTCATTTATTTGTTAGAAAATTATTTTATTTATTTTTTTATTTTCTAATTCTTCATTTATTTGTAGATTATTTCAAAGATAAATGTATTTTTTTATTTCCTTTCAGATTTTATGGTTTTAAAATCAAAAATATTTTAGTTTTGTGTATTTAGTTAAATTTTTATAAACCGATTTTTAATTATGTTTTCCTCTTTTAAAAATGATTTTTTTTTTCTTTTTTACCTTTCATTGTTTTAAAAAGTCTCTATTAGTCCCCTACAGCTCTACAGTACTGGTTGCATTCTGAATCAACTTAGTAATCTGAATGCTTGAGCAGAGCCAACTACTGCGAAAAAATTAAAATTTTTCCGGTCTTTAAAAAATAGCTGATTGTCGGCAGCGTTCGTATCCCTTCCATTACATTCCTTACCCTTCCAATGCCGTTCTATCCCTTCCAATGTCTTCGTATCCCTTTCAATGCGTTCCTTTCCCTTCCAATGCCTTTATATCCCTTACAATGCGTTCCTATAACTTCCACTGCCTGCCTATCCCTTCCAGTGCCCTCGTATCCCTTCCAGTGCATTCCTATCCCTGCCAATGCCTTCCCATCCCTTCCAACGCCTTTCTATAACTTCCACTGGGATACTTTCTCACAAGAAAGTCTGCGTATTAATTGTGTGCTGCTATAACTAGGCGTTAGATTACAACCGATCTAGGAGTAGAAATTTCTCTACCACGTTTGGCAGGTAAACAAAAAAAAAAACCAGAAGTAACACTCATCGGTCAATGCGAATGAGTACTGGTCTATAACAAATCCGTATCTGGATTTACTAACGGCACCTTTACAACTGCGCTTTTCCAATGAAAATACTCCAGCTTTTTCGCTTCTTAGATTGCACCCATTGTACTCGCTTTGAGCTCGACCCGGAATTGCAGCGGAGGACGGTAAAGCGGTCGACGGTTAATCGCTGTCAAAATTCAAACTCACAAAGGCATATGGAATGGTCCATAATTGCGGCGGCAGCGTTTTTACCACCGACGTTTTTCGGTTGATTTCAATTTATTTATATTTCTACTGCCCAGCGGGAACGGTACAATTTGATTGAGTGTTGATTGTAGTATTTTTTATTATTTTCACAAGTTTGCTAATGTTTTCACCTATTTTTTTCCAGAAAATCTACATACATGACGTACCGAAAAAATATTTAATTTTAATGAAAATTTTCAAATCAATAAAAAAAAATGACAACTGACGAAAGTCGTAGTGCGCCGCAATTGTGTTTGTTGGTTGACGGTTCATATATGTTGATGAAATATATAAAAAAGCTTGGAGGTCATCAATTGATTAGAGAAACCGGAATATTTGTTTGATTATTCTTCACATTTTTTGGTACTATCCACCACTACATTATGGAGGATTACTACATAATCGGCATCTTATATGAAAGTCAAAAGTCTTTTGACAGACCTAGGAATGAATAAAAGTCGGCACCGACTCCTCGATTTTGAGGTACACCTATGGAGAGACTACGATTACTTTTGAACATAGTATACGGAATACCAGTGAATTTGCTTTATTGCAAGAAACTATGTAGAATTTAGCCATTCATTCCTTGTGGCCGTAAGGTTCCATTTAAGTAGCTGCTGAACCAACACTAAAGAAAAGGTCTATCGAAGGATTTAAGAAGGAATACGCAGCTATTATTCCCATCAACACTTCTGTTTCTGTAAACTGTCAAAACTACACTTGCAGCGGCATGAGCTTTTGATTATCGCACGTAAATTATTGCGCATAATTTCCCTGAAAATTTTGCAAGGCAACCACGGAATAGTTTGAAAAATATTGAAGCTAATATTTGGAGTATTTCTTATAAAACTAACTTATGTTTCTACACGTTGCAGATATCTTAAGTAATAGGCATATGTTAAGCTCAGCAGAAAAGAAATCCAAACGAAGAATGAATTGAAACCTTGGATCACTCTTTCTGAAATGAACCTGCCATTCAGCAAATTAAGGAAATGAAATGCAAATCCGCAGCAGATTATAAAACGAATATGCCGATCCCTTGATTTATGAATCTAACGAAATAATTTTGTGTACTCAATCTTATTACGGTCATTGTATTTTTCTTTAATATCTACAATCATCAAAATAGCCTTATAGAGGAAAACGAGGTTTTGCTAAACTTAAATACTAAATTTGATCTGCTACCTCTATAATCATACTCACCTTAAGCTCTTATTCGTCATAATACCCGCCTGTAGGCTGTGCGTCGTTTCGGCTACATGCTCCTGTAGGAATTGATTCAAATCACCCAAACATTCAGAGTAATCGAATACCATGCAAATGGGCTCATCACGCAGGCAAGCGCCTAGTAAATGCGCCACATTTGGATCGTTGAGACGCGCCAGTTGTTTCGCCTTGCTGCGAAATTCTTTGCGCATATGTTCGGGTGCGCCGGGTCGGAGCGTAGCGACCGCAACCAAGTTGGCGCTGGAGGAGAGAGGAAGACGTACAAATATATAAAAAATTAGAACATTATATTTATTTACCTACATATGTATTTTAGAAATAAGCGGTACTCATATATATGGCTTGACGTTCAAATAACTAACAAATTTAAAACACAACAGGAAAAGCAGTGATCTTTGCTGCATCACAAGGCAACGCTTTGTGTAGCGTAAGCATACCGAATGGTGTCCGGGCCAGCCATATTAGCCATTAGCGCCACAACACACATAGAGGTGCTANTCTATAATCATACTCACCTTAAGCTCTTATTCGTCATAATACCCGCCTGTAGGCTGTGCGTCGTTTCGGCTACATGCTCCTGTAGGAATTGATTCAAATCACCCAAACATTCAGAGTAATCGAATACCATGCAAATGGGCTCATCACGCAGGCAAGCGCCTAGTAAATGCGCCACATTTGGATCGTTGAGACGCGCCAGTTGTTTCGCCTTGCTGCGAAATTCTTTGCGCATATGTTCGGGTGCGCCGGGTCGGAGCGTAGCGACCGCAACCAAGTTGGCGCTGGAGGAGAGAGGAAGACGTACAAATATATAAAAAATTAGAACATTATATTTATTTACCTACATATGTATTTTAGAAATAAGCGGTACTCATATATATGGCTTGACGTTCAAATAACTAACAAATTTAAAACACAACAGGAAAAGCAGTGATCTTTGCTGCATCACAAGGCAACGCTTTGTGTAGCGTAAGCATACCGAATGGTGTCGGGGCCTGCCATATTAGTCATTAGCGCCACAACACACATAGAGGTGCTAGCTCGAGAACAGAAAAAGCTTGGTAAATTCCGTAAAGTCGGAGACATTTCTGAAACAGAAAATAAAGCATAGCAGCATATTCTAAATTGATGACCGCAACAAGGGGACATAGAGCTAAAAGCTTACGAAATATTGATGCTTGGATAAACGTGAAGCTTGATTAAGTAAAACGTAAAAAATGCTGCTTCTATCCTGAAACGCTCAGGGCGTGAAAATTGGGAACTTAAGGGGTCATTTGGGTTTCCTTAAATTTTTCATAAATGATTCCGAAGTAAAACTCACAGACTCAATGCTGACCTTCATAAAGCCCAGTAAAGTAATAATATGTGAAAATAAACTCAAGTTTTGTACCCTGATGATTCCAAACTCGAAATAAAAAACTAAATAGTATCGTTCTTGCTCAACCCAGAGCCGAATTTCAGGAATGGCTATGTAATTTTTGGAGAGCTGGCAAAGAACCTGACTACGCTGCTATCCTAAAAGCCTTTGCCTCGTCACTGCAATGGGATTCCTATATAATTTTACACCGGAAAAAATAAATTGTGGGTGGAAGGGAGAGGAGGTGGTTATGGGAGGTGACAGGGGCGTACAATCGAAATTTCCTCCAGGGCCGGATTTCCTCTCCACGGCCCTGCCAATGACCAATATAGGGTCGTACTTTAAGTTCACTAAAGATCACTGCCTTACCATATTCAATTCCCTCTATAATTTTGATTTCCTTTTGGGCCTATGTACACTGTAAGGAAAATCTCAAGTTTTAAAATGACAAAAAACGCCGAAACACGCGAACTTAAGATTGAGTCGTTCATTGCGGGCATGTATACCATTTTTCCAGAGTTGGTCAGTGAAGAAAATTGCTATCAGATGTTTTTCCAGGGCTGCAAACCGGTTTTTGAACCGAACCGTCGCTGTTTTTCGGGCTTCGAACCGAACCACGAACCGAACCTTTTTTGNGCGTACAATCGAAATTTCCTCCAGGGCCGGATTTCCTCTCCACGGCCCTGTCAATGACCAATATAGGGTCGTACTTTAAGTTCACTAAAGATCACTGCCTTACCATATTCAATTCCCTCTATAATTTTGATTTCCTTTTGGGCCTTTGTACACTGTAAGGAAAATCTCAAGTTTTAAAATGACAAAAAACGCCGAAACACGCGAACTTAAGATAGAGTCGTACATTGCGGGCAGGTATACCGTTTTTCCAGAGTTGGTCAGTGAAGAAAATTGCTATCAGAAGTTTTTCCAGGGCCGCAAACCGGTTTTTGAACCGAACCGTCGCTGTTTTTCGGGCTTCGAACCGAACCACGAACCGAACCATTTTTATTTTTAAATGCCAATACCGCACCGAAAACCACTCCAAAAAATCGTTCGGTTCGGTTTGAAATTCACTTATTTAAGCATTTTTCAAGTTTTGTATTACACAACTTTGCCAAAAAATGCAACCCTATAGTAAAACTGCAAATATTTTGAGTTTAATGGCATCTCTGTGAGTTATAATTTCATCCATATAAAAAATGCTAGAAATGTTTTATGTGGAAGAAAATGCATATAACCGCCAGCAAAAAAATCAAATCCGGGAAAAATTTGCCAAAAATCAACTTAACCTTAAAAATTTTTAGTAGAAATTCTTATTAAAAAGTTTGCAACTTGGATGAAAATTTGCAGAATTTTCACAATTTTTTTGACAAAGTTTTAAACTTGGACGATGAACTATACNATGTGGAAGAAAATGCATATAACCGCCAGCAAAAAAATCAAATCCGGGAAAAATTTGCCAAAAATCAACTTGAACCTTAAAAATTGTTAGTAGAAATTCTTATTAAAAAGTTTGCAACTTCGATGAAAATTTGCAGAATTTTCACAATTTTTTTGACAAAGTTTTAAACTTGGACGATGAACTATAATAAAAAAAGTAAACCTTAAATAAAACAAAAATATGGCCATAATTGTTAAAATTTCGCGTCACTATTTATTTTTCCACTACTATAAATGTGGATGTTTGAATTTGATCTCAATAATAAAGCTTTTTATTTTTATATACATAGTTTTGTAAGATTTGTATCCTTTACCATAAAAAAAAAATTGAACCATTTGAACCGAACCGAACCGCGGTTCGGGAATACCCATGCACCAAGATTTTTCTAAGCGGATAAGCAACTGAACAGAACCGCACCATTTTTTGGAGTGGTTTGCAGCCCTGGTTTTTTCCCCTCCTGTAAAATCTTTAAAATGGGACTTAGCAACTTTTCTCTCTAAACTAGCGAAATATTTTTTAGTTTTTTTAAATTTGTATTGAAGCCTGTTCTTAAAAAACAAAATAAAGCTACAACGATGAAAATCGATCGTTAAATGAACAAGTTTTGAATGAAATGTGGCTAGGAAATAATGTTACTCATACGCCACATCGTACGGTGACTACCTCGTACATACTCGCACATGGCGTAAATATGCGTAACAATTTCCATGCTAAAGTTTGATTATTTTTTCAATCAATGCAATGCAAACTTAAAATGAAAATATCTTGGGCAAATTACGTGATCTAGGCAAATGATATACAGATCCGGAATCTACGATCCAAACACAAGTTTACGCTACGAAGTCCTTACACGAATTAAATTATTTACTTTATTTCATTTTATCTTATTTCATTTCAAGTATTCTACTTCATTTGTTATTTCATTCTATTTCAGAACATCGTAAATATTTTATATTTATAACCTCAGTACTTTATTATTTACTATATGATATGCCGTGCCAGCTGTCGGTTGCATTAAAATTATTAAATTGTCAAATATCTTTTAATATTTTTATTTTTTCCACAAATTTCATAATCATAATGAAAATGCATTTCATTGCAATTTTTGATGATGATTTAATACCAAATGTTGTCTGTGCACAAAACCGAGCTGTCATAATATGAAATCAAATATGCACACACACACACACACACTCAGGTATACCGAATAGGCACACACACACACCAACGAACACAATTGCATTGTAGGCCAGCCCGAAGAGCGCAATGCGTCAGAGCAGGAGAAGGATGTGAAAAAGACATTTGTTGTGGAATGATAGCAATTTTGCAGCTGCCAAACGACCTGCAATACTCGCATGTACCTATAGTATAACTGCTAGCTTGCATATAAACATATATGTATATATATATATATATATATATATATATATATATATGTATATGTGCTCTATACTCAACGAATTTGGTTCGTCTCTTGACTCTTTGCTGCTTGCTCGAATGCCGATCAAGTTGTGATATGGTCGTTGTGTGTCACATTGCGGCAGCATATAAAATTGTGTTGCGGTCATAAAACCTCAAAGTGCATTATGACCGTTATCCTTGTTGCGACAAAACAGGATATGTGAAATAATTAACATGCTCATAGTTGCACTAAAATGGCCAACACATGCCATGGAAGCGGGTGTCCATACGCACAACAGCATTCACACAGATGGAGGCATATTAACTTATTACTCTACATACATACATACATATGGGCATTTCCTGCGTTACGGGCGTACCATCCTAACACATTCTTTTCAGTATACTGTATACATATGAGCCATTCTTTTTAAGTCGGATGGATTTCGTAAAAACATGATGTCATATCTCCGATACGCTTCAAATTTTTTTTATGGCGTCTATACATGAAATAAGCTACGTATTCGAGAAATTTTTATATATGTACATATATATTTTTTTGTGTTCGGAAATTGTTTTCGAAAACTGATGGTGAGATTTAGCAAGATATTAAAAGTCAGGTTTTTGCAAAAATTAAATATTTGTGCGGCGAGACACAGTGCCACACTAGCTATAGTCACTATTAAACGGTTTGTTAGAGATTACACCATTCTCTAACATTAGCCAACAAACGCTGGAATAACCTTTCACCCTGCCAAACTTCCAGGATTAGCTGTCCTTCTATAACAGGAAACGCACACTTAGGATTAAATAGAAAAGAAATGTCATTTCCTCTGAATACTCTTACGGGCAACTTCCTAAGATGTCATCAGAACGAGCCTATATTGACATATGCGAGGGGAGGATCTACTGTACTGAATCAAACATTAAGGACAGAATCGAAATGAAAATGAACAAATTTGATAATGAAAGAAAAAAGTATCAATCTTAGTTAAAAACAAATAAGAGCAGCGCTGTCTTCGGCTATGCCGAATTCTTCATACCTTTCACAAGCATGTGAAAATTTTACTTTAACAGATTACTGCATTTGAAAATAGTTATAAATTCACAGCAGAAATAGATACAAATATAAAAAATCATATCTAAACAATCAGAGGTATGGAAGATATACCTTATATAGCACCAATCTAAGTGATTTTCACTGCTGTGTGATTGGTACGTAAACCGGTAACACAATTTAATGGGTTTAGCTTACCTTTCCTACATAAAGGAGATATATCGCAAAGACTGGTATCTGAACAATGAAGTGGTATAAGAGATAAAGCTCATACAGCATAAATTTTCGCGATTTTCTCAGTAGACTTTGTATTATTATTAATAAAATAGCTTACGAAATTTATCTGTTTTAGCTGTCCAAATAAAGAGGTTTTACAGTAAAACCCCATGTCTAAACGATCAGTTTTATGGGGGCAATAAACAGATTATGGTGACCCGATCTTTGTTAATTTTACTGTAAACTTTCTGTTGACAATGAATGAAAATAGTGCGAAATTTCATGTTTCTAGCTGCATAGATGGAGTAGTTATATCAGCTATATGTAAAAGTGAGCCGATCTTTATTATTTTCACTGTATATTCTGTTGTTAATGAATGGTAGTATTGCAAAACAGACAGACAGACAGAC